TCAAGATCAATAAATGGGTAACATGCACTGTGAGATGAATTCAAGTTCCTCGTCTGAATTATCCAGTACCTGTTGATACAGGTGAAGTTGGGTGTTACACCTTTATTGATTGACATAAAATATGGGTGGTGTGACAATGGGGAAAATCTTAACTGGGAGTCAAACCATGTGAGAAGCTACTGAGAAGATGACCATGTTTGATTTAAGATTCTGGAGAGCATCTGCAAGACAAGGACATAAGAAGTCTGGTGTTGATGGAGCCTGTTTTTGCGACAACCTTTAACTTCTCCTCTTGCCCCATCCCTGTGTGGGAAGTTAACAGCTGCTCAATAGCAAAAGCTGGTTTAGGAAGGAGCTTGCAAGAGTGATTTCAAGGACAAATTTAAGTCTGGAAGTACAAGAACTAAAACCTACTCACAAATAACCGCACAAGACATGATGTGGAATAAGTGAGTAAGCACTTCATAAGAACCCTTTCAAATGAGGGTGGCTGTTCTGATGGCCTCAACATGTTTGAGACTCTCATCCCTTTTGGTAAAGTGCCCCCTTTTTGTTTTTACATGCACTGCCCTGTAGTTTTCACTTCTGGAGGGGGGAAAACCTGCACAAAATTGAGCAATGATTGCACTACATCCCACAAGGATACTTATTTTGGTTTAAAGCCTTATTGTATTGCTTCCTAGCATGCGGTGTAGCTTTGTCAAAAGGATTAGCTGTCAACTTACTTGTATTTCAGAGGCAGTATGAACAGCTAGGGCTTTTTCTCACAGCCTAGTTAATCTCGGATCAGCTGCCTTCCCTATTCAGCTTCAGGAGCTGCAAACTAATAGCCAATCCTATTAGAATGGGAACATTTTTTCTAAGAGTCAGGCCGAATGAAAATTGGAGTAAAGGAGCTCAAATTTGAGGAAAAAGAGCAAGGGATCTTGGCCTGGTCCTAGTGATACCATTGGCTCGTTTACTTAGTCTACCTACTCATTATGATTGAACTAATTTGCTTCTTTGAAGCTTTTAAATTTTAAGTTAACTTGCTCAATATACTGTAAATACCTATTTACTGTACAGGTAAATCCCCTTTTCAAGTCTGAACCTGAGTGTCTCATTAAAATGTAATAGGGAAGCTCTGAGCTGGAAGACAAAGCAGCATAAAAGGAGGTATCGGGGAGCAGAATCACAAGCCCTCTAGACCAGGAATGTGGCTTGGCATCACTGCACGGCACAAGACCTGCCGCTGCTTTCAGTGCATGAAACTATTTGGCAGGAAGGCTTATACTTTGGATCCTGTGCTGCCTTCCTGCAGCAGCTGGGTTCAACAGACCATTAGCAGTGCTGCATAGCCTCCCCCTTGTGCTTTACTTAGCCAAATGTCATAGATGAAACATGAGGAGCTCAAGTCCCACAAGTCAGGCCAGCATTGTTGCTGAGCATTTGACATTGGTGGCAGGTGTGGCCTGTAAACATTTTATAAATAAACCTTGCATAGCTACTGCTTTTGTCCTGTTGTTTTTTGTTTTTCCAGAATATAGAAACAGTTCTGAAGTAATTTCTTTGCTATGGTTGATTAGCAGAGAAAGTGCACGAGCATGACAATCTGGATTTTTTTTTTGGTCGGTTACTTTCGGAGGTGATTTAAACTAGAAGGCAGCATTGGACTGGGGGAATAAGTTTTGATCTGACTAAGGCATAGAAGTGCTCCTTTGTGGATTGCTGTAGGAGATCTAGGCTTAAAAACCCAGTTTTGGTAGAGATGAAAAAATTGTAAAGGAAATCTTAATTGCAGTTAAGACAACCTGTCAAAGGCCGGGCAGTTGGAGGGCTCATGCTACCACTACCAAAGAACTTGAGCTTAGTCATCATTCTAATTCTCATTGAGAGCAGCACGTCCAGTTCGATTATTCATTGCACTCTATGTGAGCAATTTTGGGATCAATAGTACTGGAAGCAAACTGCTTCGCTATTGTATACTGTAACAGACATTGGAAGGTGGGTGGTGGATGTATACTCTACCTGCAATACTAACAAGCTTCAGCTGAAGTATTCAGGGTAGTAACTGGAAGCCATTCTATTACTTCAGCATTTAGTAAGTAGAAGTATAGTTTTTTTTTCCCTCACCATAATTTATCCTCTGTAAATGGGGGGGGGGAGATATGGAGTGCATATTGAGCATAGCCAGTCTTAACCTGGGCAGTGTCATTTGCCAATTCTAGCCAGGATTCCGCAAGCATAAGGGTCCCCTTGGCCAGATGTTATTGAATGTCATGTGACTTTCATTGTGCTTTCCTCTGCTTGCCAAGTAAGAGCAATCCCTGGAGCTTCTAAGACTCTGGGAACTGTCCTCAGGGAGGTGTTGCTCCTGCAGTTGGTGCTGTCCTGCCTCTGTGGATCTCCAGCAAGACGAATGATGAAAAGCTCAGCCCCCCCCCACACACACACATCCTCCTAACGTCTTGACGTGTATGTGGGCTGATCGGCAGTTGGGATTGTCAAAATAATGGATGCCTTGTTTTATTTTTAGGGAAGGACTGGCATTAATAGATTTGGAGCTGTATGTGTTTTCAGTATTTGCGGATTTTGCATGCAATTTTTTCATGCTTAACTCATAATGCAAAAAAAGTTAAAAGGTATGAAATCTGTGTTTTCAGGAGTTAAAGCTCTTGAATGAAACGGAAGACAGGATGACATTTACGATGCTACTGTGACACCTTTCCTGACTATGCAGTTTTCTTTCCATGTCCCTAAAAGTCTTTGTCTCAAGTTGTAGAGTGATTGATTCCCCAGAATACACTGTTATTGGTTTATACGATGACGGGTGTCAGTGCCAGCTCTTATGATAGAGTCATGTGATGCCACGCAAGTGGTACAGTAGCATCTCCAGCTACAACCAGATAGAGGCAGTTTTATCTTGCATCCTGCTAGAAGTCTACTCCTTGGAGCAGCCAGCAACTGAAAGTACTATCCAGGCTTCCTTGAGATGCTCCTGTTTTTATTCTCTTCAGTGTCACGCCCTCTGCAGCCAGAGGGCGCTCCTTCTCTGTCCTGTCCCTAGTTTCCGGTCTGCTGTCCTTCCTGTCCCTCTCTTCCTTGGGCTATATATTTCCGGGTCTTGCACTCTGTCCTCGCTCAGCATTGATATTCGGATGTCCTGAGACCCGCCTAGCACCAGGGCGCCCCACGTCCGCTCCCTGAGGGCATAGGTTTCTATACGGCATTCCTGAACTCTTTGCACGAATGAGCCCGGGGCTTTTTCCCGTCTCGCCGCTACGCATATGGGTCTTTTTCTGCTCTCCTGCTCCCCACGGTTAGTCCCTTTGGACGTCCGTGACATTCAGCCCTTTGAGCAGTACCATTTCACCAGAAATAGTGCTGTTAATATTTTCTGACATCTTGTCCATTTTATTTTTCAAACTTTTTTCTGCTCTTAATATTTATCCATCATTTCATTCGCAATTTGTGGTGTTAAATATTTTAGGGGATGGCTGTAGTATATTTTTGGTTATGTATTCTCAAATCTGTATTTAATGCTTTCCATAACTGTCAAGCACTGGTTTCTGAAATAGAGGACAATTTGTTTCCTTCACTTTATCCCAAATATGCTATTGGTCTTGCTTGTTTTTCTGCATATGATTTATGCATCCTACCTCTTTCATGCTGTCTCATTGCCAGGACTGAGGTTTTATTACTTATTAGAATCACAAGTGAGTATCTTGACTCTTCAGTGTCACATGACAGACTGCTGACCTCATTCATAAGAAAATAAGAAAGGGGATCAATGCAAGAGGCTGCTCAGTCCATCTTGTTCATTTCTGCTCATATATTCCAGTGCAGGAACAGGCTGGAGATACAGCTGTCATTGCAATGAGTAATGCAAATAGCATGAGGCCTGTGCACATGCATATGAGTTGGCCTGTAGTTATGTTACATTAATCTTCACTGCTTTAGAGTTAATGTAGTACACAGTTGTGCTTTTGTTCAATGGTATAGCCTTATTCTCTAATATTGCTTCACACAGTGTTATGAATATTGATTTCTGTGAAATTTGAAGCCCATGACTGCCAGAATTTTTTGAAAGACTAGTGAACTAGGCAGCTGCCTCAATGTACCTTCTGAATTCTGAATTGTCCTTCGGTGTCAGAAATCTCCTGTCTGCAAAGGTCATGATGACAGGAGTGCAGGAAATTAAGGAAGGCAGTGCCTTATCCCTCAGCACTGTTTTCTTCTTGACAAAAACTGAAATCACATCAGAGGTGGCAGTCTGGTGTGTCTGGTGGAAAGTGCTTTCGAAAGCCCTCTCACTGTTTGGTGCAGCTCATCAGTCACACTTGCAACAGGCCCAAAGATGCATTGTAGTAAGTGAAGCTCAACAGCTTGTTGCTGGTACAGCCTTTTTCCATTTACTTTGTCTCAAATTGAATAAACCCCAAATTCATAAGCGTTAAAAGCAGAGAAACCCTCAAGTTAGCACTGGAGCTGAGTTCAATAAACCAAAGTAAATATTTAAAATGTAGATGTTTTTTAAACTAAGACATGTGCCTCACGTGAAACATGTTTCAAACATTATTTGGCAACTTTAATAGCTGTAGAAATACTGCATGAAAGCCTACATCTGCATAGATCCAGTCTTCCCACAATGAACACTGTCTAATTCCTGCACATAAACTATAGCAGGAAGGCTGGAAACATTCAAATAAAACTTTAGCTAGTGGCATTTCTGAATTGGCAAGACCAATGAATACATTTAAATGTTTTATTGCACTTCTAGATGAGGAACGTGATCTCCTTTATAATTTGATGGCACGTTTCTTATTAAAGATGGCTTATGGAGTAGTCATTTTCTTAGAATAAGCTAGAGAAACTTCAAAAACATTTGCCTCTCTGTAAAGAAGACCTGCTGTTCAGTTTGAAGCCTTTCTGCCAAGATCTCTTTTCCTCTATTGTCTGTTCAGCTGCCAATGAAGTGTGGTGCTGTGAGTCTAACTGGGCTGTAACAGAGGGGAGTCTATATTTACTGCCTTGGGAAGGACACCATTGTGTGAGCTACATTCTCAGGCTGAAGGGCACAGTGTGTCATCAGCTGGGAGAACTAACCAGCTCTGTCCTCTCTTTTGCTCCTCAAGGTGCTCAAATCCCCTGTGTGTTGGAAGAGTCGTTTCTCTGCGACTGACTTGTTGCAGCAACATCCTTGAGTGATTTGCCTAATTATTAGGTAAGGTTTTGTTTCAAAAAATGGGGTTTGTCAGAAACCAGAACAGTGTCACCAGTGGGGGCAGATAGTGAAATGAAAAAAATCTAGATGAAATATAGAATTGAGAAGCTACCTGTCCCCAAATATCAGTTTTTTGTTACTGTTACTGTACGTCTTTGTGTTATTTGTTTGCTAGTATGTTTATTAAACTGGGATCCACCTTGAATTGTTCAAGAGCTTCATGTAATTTATTTGGGTGTTATCTATTTTTAGTGATGTATCTTTGTGTTCTTGAATGTAGAGCAATCTATTTTTCTTGCCTATATGTAATATGTACAGTTTCAAATGTACATAGTGGCTTATTTCTCAGTGATACCTCTATTATTGTTTTAGCTAGTGGTAGTTTTTTTTTTACTTTGTACCATAAACTTGTTAGTTTTTTTTTTACCTTTTGAACTTGTAAATAAGACCCAATAGTCGTGACTAAAGGTGAAAATACTGAATATACATTTTTAGGATTAAACTATTTTTTTGGTTTAAATTAGTTCGGAGTTGACAGAAATAGATACTGAACTTACACTGTCTTAATGGAATTGCATTAATTTAATTTATTCCCTTTGGGTTCTCAGTTATCTGCAGGGAGCACAGATATGAGACATTAAATGTAACTGGATTAGATGGACTCATCCATCAAAGTTATCCTTCAAGGAGTGAAGCTTTCTGTAAAGCTACATAAGACTACAGGTCGAAATGTCTCATTATCTGATTTAAGATGATATTTCCCAAAAGCTTGTTAAAGAAGGTTTAAAATAAATTCAGAAAAGGTTTCATTCTGCTGTACTGCCCTCTTGAGAATCTATTACGAAATTAAAGGGATATCATTAACAACATACTGTAGTCTGACGTTGTTCATTTTAGTCCAATTAAACTTCACAACAAGTCATTGCAATAATCTAAGAGCGAGAGCTTTTGAATAATAGACCTGAACTGATTAGCTGCTAGGTCAATGGCCCGCAAAGAATTATAGCCATATTTAATTTAATGGGTCTTTAAATTGTTAAATATATTTAATGCTCCTCTTTATTTTTCGATTTGCATTAATATTTTATGCTATGTTCGGCGTAAATAAGGCATATAAATGTCTTTCTTTATTTCCATTTCAAGAGTTGCCTCAGAATGGCATCAAAGACGCTGATACATCACACACAGGAGGAGCAGAGTGATCAGATGTTTCACAGCCTCCAAACATCCTCCACAACCACCAAGAAGAAATTCAAGTCGAGGTAATTAAGCCTGTCCATCTAAGTGGAGTCTTTTTTTTTTTTTATTTGAACATTCCACGGTCCTTTATGAGGGAGAGCACACATAATGTTAAGATGTTAACATTCCTGCTGTTGTGCTCTCTTCACCAAAAACATTTCTGAATCCTAGCCACTTCCAATCAAGAAATAAGTCGGCACTAAATACTGTTAGGCCCCTACTGAGACAGCCAGGTGTCTGGATTTGACCTGTTATGTCTGAATGGTTTACAAGTCCGTGAGGCAGCAATGAAAAAGCTATCAAGTCCAGTTTTAAGATTATTAATTAGTACAGAAATCATGACAGGGCAAGGCCAGGCTAATATGTTGATACAATCTGCGCGATAGTGTGGGGTACCCAGCTGAATAGGTTTCCCATCAGGAGGAGCCTAGAGGTGGGGTGTGTATTAGAAAAAAGTGAACTAAAGTGAGGTGTTGCTGAGCTGAGTGGATAAAGCAAACGCACAGTTAATAGCTCCCACATTCATTAAAAATACAAGGTTCTGGATGTTTCCATGCCCTCATTGTGAATATTTCAGCATGCAAAGAAGGCAAGAACATGATTTGACTTTGGCCTAGGCTAATTAAGGAAAACATTTCAGTTTTGTCTGTGGAGGAGGTAGTGGCCCTATCATATCTATGACAGGAACAGATGTCAGTGGTGAAAACAAACTTTTGAAGCAGAGAAAAAAGGTATGTCCAACCTGATAACAGATCATTCCAAACAAGGTACTCAATATTTCTCATTTTGTGGGAGAACTCTGTAGCTTGCATCCAAAACAAACCTACTGTGAAGTCCTTGGTTCAAAATGTGTACTGTAGGAAACTTATTGGGTGACAATTTGTTTAATCCACACCTAAATACTGACATTCCGCAGAATAATGCTTTGATGGCTCTGTGGCAACATTACTTTGTTCTTTGTCAGATTTTTACAGCTGTCATTTTACAGAATTTTAAGTTCATAGTGACTTTTGTTCCTACTGAATTTTAGCCTGAGCTCATGCTGAAATAATTATGCAAATATAACAGCAATGAAATACTGCCTTTAGGTCTCTTGACGGAAGCTCTCACCTGGAGAAAGATTATATCTGGCAAGAGGGATTGAGTGCAGGAAGAAAAGGGTCTGTTTTTGAGATGTGTATAATAGGACTAAGAAATGTTTGTTCCATATTTAAAGTCAATGGTGGTTTGCAGAGAGCTGTTATTTCCTCAAAACTCAGGTGCCAAGAAAATTCAATTAACTAATATTATTCATACAATCAAACCACTTTAGTGTCACTGCAGCAAGCATTAAATTGAAAACAAATTAAATAATCAATAGCAGCTTAAGTTACTGCTACACTGTTATTATCAATCACGTTCATCAGCGCATACAGTATGACTGGTTTCCAACGTACTACTTCTGCTCACTGATTCTGCATATTTTCTGTATTTTGATGACTATCAGGTATGGTGCCTTGTCACATAGATGAAAATGAGGTTTAGATTTGTTAGGATATATACGGTATGAATGATACAGAAAATGAAGTTTTTGAGTTCCTGTCACAATACTCCAACATGCTCATCTAACAAACAATGAGTCGTCAAAGGTGATGCAGGATAAATGAAGACAGCATGCTGGACAAGAGCAAAAGGAACATTTTGAAACAACAGCTGCAGTTTCATCTGTATTCTGACTGAATATCAGAGGAACAACATCTGAATATTTTAGATAGATGGTAATACCATAACTGCTAGTGAGTAACACCATAAGGGTTTACATACAGTATGCACAAGATAAGGGGGCATGGTGGTGCAGTGGCTAGCATTGATGCCTCACAGTGCTGGTGCCCTGATTCCAACTCCGGACATGGAATGCTATCTGTGTGGAGTTTGCATGTTCTCCCCAGGTTTGCAACCACAGTCTAAAGGCATACTGGTAGGTTAATTGGCTTCTGAGAAAACTGTCCCTGGTGAGAATGTGTGCATGGTTGTTTGTGTGTGCCCTGTGATGGACAGGACACCAGTCAAGGGTGTATTCTAGCTCCCCCGTGACCCTGAATTGGATGATGTACTGTACAATACATCAGTTACTCCTTGCCAGAAATAACTCATTTGGAGGGCTGTTAGTTGTCTCTTGTTAAAATGAACCATGCTCATATCCCCAGTTTTGCTCGGTCTCATTAAACAGAACTGAAAAGAGTTTCACCTTATTTGTGCTTTATTTCAAAGTATTTAGAGATGGACAGGCTGAGGAATCCCTCTGGCCTTGCAACACAGTAGCCCAAAAGCTTCTCAAGGCCTGGATTGAAGTGTTACATTCATTACAGATAATGACATCATGATTTCAGCTCAGTACGAGACAGTTTATGATGCTGTGAAGACAGAGTGAGGTCCCTCCAGGAACTGGACTTGACAGATGGTCAGTAACATGGATGGCCAGTCACGGCCCAGGAGGACTGCAGTCTAGCAAGTTTCACACATCTCAATTTAAACAAGAAATCAAATCCAGCCATTAATTGGCCAAAAACCTGGAAAGTCTTATTCGGACCCGTCTCCTGCTTAGATTATCAATTCTTCCTGTGTTTGAAAACAAAAAGGTACGATTCAGGTATGGGTTACTCCAGTCTTCAAGGTCCACAGAATCCTCCGATTCTTGTTCTTGTGAATGTTACTTACTGTATTAATTACTGTGTTGATTAATTGTTTGAATAAAAATCTTATCAGTTTTAGTCTGAATCAAATGCCTACTGTGAAAAACAGCAGGAATCCCAGCCTCTGAGGACCCATTCATTTCAGAGCGTAACCTGTAAAAACTGCCCGTGTTTTCCAAACCATCATAGGCCAGCTCTCGTCAGTGCATCAGAAAGATAAAATAGGGAAAAAAATGAAGCGTTCATCATAATTCACACTGCTTGGTGCTTCAGCCCATAAAAAACTTAATGAAAACTGGCAGTTTTATTCAGATACCTTGCTGATGGCATAAATAATTAAACAGCATGGAAATAAATGTCTACAGTGTGTTAGCCCTTGGAATGAAGAAAAGGGTGAAACATTTAATTGCTGGTATTGTCTTATGTTAACCTACCATTTCTTCAAGAGTATACGTTTAATTTTTTATTATTTTAGTTTTATAATTTAGCAAAATACATTTATTTGAAGTTTCAGATTATGTTAACTTAAAAGAATGTTTAAACTACAAATCAGGATTTAAACAATACAGACTATGGGGTGAGGGGGACAATGAATTATAATGACAGTCCTTTTTGTGGTTACCCATGAAAGCACTGGAGGGTCCTGTTTAAATCAATTGTTTGGCATTGATACCCCATTTTTTCAGAAGGCTTATGAGCATGCCTTCTCTGACAGGGTGTGATTTTTGTGATGTCTCAAGATCAGTGGAAAAAAGTTAAGGAAGGGAAAATCGGTGGTGGTTCATCATATATCTTTGAACACTGACGGTGCACACCTGGGGGCATCACATCAATGTACTGTGACCACCATTTATGTCAATGTTTATTGGAGTAAGAACTCGTGAACAGAGAGTGCAGATTTGGGGTGAATAGATAGTCTGCCATGGCCCTGAAGTGGGAGAAGAGGTTAGAAAATGGATGGATGAGTGTGGCATTTTCTAAATCCATACAGGCTACGTACGCTGTTTCATACATCTGCAAGTCCAGTTTAGTGGGGGGTCCTGAGGGGCTCAGCTGGCACTGGTTCTCATGGTAGAGTGAGCTGTATGACCCAGATGTTGCGAGTCTGCAGCTGGGTTGGGTCACCAGTCAGCTGTGATTGCGATTCCACAAGCAAAGGTTAACTAGT